TACAAAAAAAAGACCCATACAGATAGATATTTAAACGGTGATTCTCACCACCATCCTTCACAGTTAGCTACCGTGGGTAAATCTTTGTTTCAGAGAGCACGAGGGATCTATGACAGTAAACATCTGGCCGCCGCTCTCAACGCTCCAATATGTCAAGCAAGTTTTGCACGACAATTAGCTTCGGGTCCCGCTCCTACGTCACAGTGAACGAGTGAAGCCGGCCACAGTCGAGCGAGTGCCTGTTGTATTGCCATATGTCAGAGGTGTTACTGACAAGATTGGCTACATCTTGAAGCTTGCTTCCATTAAAACATATTTCAAGCCGTCGAAGTAGGTTGGTCAATTTTTACCATCACTCAAATGTAATATTCCTCTTCAAGATGCAGGAGTGTACAAGATCCATAAAAACACGCGTTAAAAAAACACCTAGCTGATGTGAAGAATAGACGCTCCGGGAAGTCTGCAGTCTGTGAACACGTACAGGATCGCCCCCGTCACTACATTAGTTTTGATAGGCCACAAATCCTCGCTAAAGTACACTGATTCCTTCCAAGGATGATTCGCGAGGCTATTGAAATCAAGAAACTTCCTAATTTCAATAGAGAAGTTGGCTGGGTGCTACCATTTGCTTGGGATCCCATAATTAATAAAATTAAATCCCAACCCAAGCATACAACTGCAAGACTTCATGATACTGTAAGATCATACTGCGTAGATCGGAACAAAAATTAATAATTTTTAATCTGGAGGTAGCCGTGGTTAACTATGACGTTAGGACGTCATAAACCTCAGTCCCCCCCGTGACCATTGGTGCTGTAAAGTGCTTGAAACGTCGGGAATATAAAATAAGTTAATATACACGATAAAATCCGTAAAATTAGTTTTATTTAAATTCGCTAAGTAGGTAATCTGTGAGATTTCCAAAGAATTTTCGAAGGTAAATCAAGGTATAAAAGGTAAGTTTTTCATTCGACTAATCCAAGAACAAATAAAATTGAAATTTCGATTTCTAATCCGATTGAAATATTCTTTTATATTTGACATTCCAATTTTAAAGAGTATTGCATTGCACCAAGCTTTTATGCAAGGCGGTTATAATATAATATAGGGAGTGAGCGCTTGAATCATTGAAAACGTTCCTCATTTTTCTTAGAAAAAGAGGCACCTGATTTTTGTATTTTATCTTCTTCTAACATTGATAAATGTTTACACAAAAAAAAACATTACCAACGTTTAGACAGTTATTGACTTAAAGTAATATTTTAGACGTATGGTAGAACGATGATCTTACATTTTTTATCGCTAATCACAGTTGGTATATTCCATATTGTATTTTAATTAAGCTTATTATTAAGTAACACAAAACATCAAAATTCCAGAAAATATACAAAACTTAACCTGCTCAAAGTTCAAAAACTTTATTTAACTAAGTTTTTAAAAAAGGGTGATTATAATATTAAAGAATTTATGGATGAAAATGACCCGTGGAAAGGAGTCGATCGCTACCAAGCTATTTCTAATTTGTTGTGTTGTTAATTTGTGTAACATACATGATTGTAAGCTGTTATTTAAAAAAAGTCCCGCTGGGTTTCTTGCTGATTCTTCCCAGACAGAAGTTTTTTCGAACCAGTGGTAATTAAACAAAAGAGTGATTTTCAATTAGTATTATTATATTTTAATAATACTAATTATATTTTAATAATACTATTATTTAATTCAATGAGTATATTATAATTTATATTGAATAAAAAAGTTTCTGTTTGTTTTTGTTACACGAATGTTCTTTTCCTAAAAACTAGGAGGTGCATTTTATGCTATAGATGACAACACCATTTTAAAATTTCACGTTGTCAAATGAATGAATATATTGTTTTTTTATAGAATAGGGTGACAAACGAGCACACAGTCCACCGGATGGTAAGTGGTTGCTGTGGTCCATAGACATCTACATCTATTCTCGTTTGCGTATAAAAATGCAGATGCGTTGTCACCCGTGAGGACTAAGATGTAATGCCTAGTTTCCAGTAAAAAGGATCTCCGGTTCTCTACACTCACCATACGAAATACATCAGTGTCGAGCTTCTTTTTTATGCTGGTATTCTGTGAGTGCGTGGTCTTTCCCCGATCGAGCCGACCAATATGTGCTACAACTATACTACTTATATAGCTGCAGCATGGCTCTACCACGTAGAAAACGCCTTGTGCTAATCATTCGCTAAATCTATGTGGAGTGCACTCACTTAGGGAGCGTTAATTCAAGTTTAACTTTTTTTCGGAACAGTAGAAAGAGTTTACAGGTTCTTTTCATCATCTACACGTCAATGGGAAACTTTAATAAAAAGTGTAGGCTTATCGGTCAAAAGACTCTCAGAGACAAGATGGATTGCTCATCATGACGCTGTTAAACCACTGCAGTATAATTAAAAAAAAACTAGTATAAACACTCGAAGATATATAAGATCCCAGCAGCAACAAAGAAAACGTCGATACAAAAGAAGCAGTATCTACACTCCTACCAGCTTTGTGTTTTTTCAGTTTTTTAATGCTGTCTTTCCTTTTTGGTGTAAAATCCTATAAGAAGTTAGTCAGACACAAAAGCAAATACTAAATAATAAAATAATAATTTAGATTATCACTGGAAAAGTATGAGATAAAAATCAAAGCCTCAAAATTTTTCTTCAAGGCCAACGTATTCAACTAGTGGAAAAGTTATTTCCTACGTAACAAAAAATGTGAGAATGTGGACATTTCGATTGAAGGAACAAGAGGGATGAGGAGATATCGAAAACGTTTACCGGGAGAAATTACCTGATATGCTGGACTAACATTGCCAGAGGAGCTGCAGAGAGCTATCTTAGAATGTCTTGACATTATTTTACGAGGAACTAGACCATCGCTACAGAGCAATGGATGATATTCTCGTAACATTTAGTGTTGTTCAGACTTACACTCTGCTAACGTCACCAGATGAAGATTTTTGTGTAATAGTTCAAAATCTGACAAAAATCTACGATGATTTTTCTGCAGGATATATAATTTTGGCGATTTATGTCTTGAAAGCTGCCAGTATTTCTTCCCAAGAAGCGGTTCAATGTAATTCATTGGTGCTTTTCTTGTATGATTGGGCTATTTAGAATCTGTTCCGAATCTAGCGCTGTGTCTAAGATTTTTTTACTATTAAGTTTCATGTGAAGGAAGCTTTTCAAAACTCAATAAAATCTTAATTAAGGTCAACAATAAGCCAAGCGTGACTAACCAATATTTCCATTTTATCTATCGAAAATAACAAGAATATAAACTTCCTAAAGTCCCGTTAGCATGTATATCATTTTTTGTTTTACTTTGGGGGGTGCTTGATAGAAAACCACCCACGCTACGCTGCCACTAGTTACCGTAAGGTTTGATACTGTAGCGAGGCAATATGTAATCAAAATATTAAACGGAGTTTAATTATAACACTATTCAGCACTTTCCATATTGAAAAAATACGCATTTCGTTTTCTATGATGATGTATACACTCAAATTATTGTATCATGGGCACTCTATTAGAAAGAAATGTAACGCTTAACTCGGTGCATTTTGTTCGTTTCAAGGTCATTGAATTAGAAACGTTTCTCTAGTATGAAGTGCGCACTCCCTATATTTTACAACCTCCTTGCTTTTATGTGAGTTAAACGTTTTGAGTTTTCAATCATGTGTATCAAAAGCACTAAGGAGTATTGATATCAACTTCGATGCAAATCACCCCCAAAATAACTTTCTACCCCTTTTTAACCACGTTAGGCGATGAGTTTCAATAAAATACGAAACAAGTCTTCCATCAATTCTGTTAAAGAATATTCGTGCAGAATTTGAAGTAGATTGGACCAAGGAATCACATTGTCCGATACAAACTTTGCCCCTATTTATCACCACCTTAGGGGTAGAATTTCGATAAATCCTTTCCTATTGGATGCCTACGTCATACAAAAAACACCCTCCAAGTTTCAGGTTTTTACGATTAGCGGTTTAGGCTGTGCATTGATCCGTCATTCAGGACAAAGCATTTTATATGTATAGATTATGTATGTTTGATATGATTATATATATATATATATATATATATATATATATATATATATATATATATATATGCGACTGCGTTTTAGCCACTGCACGGAGTCTTGATTAAACTCAGTCTCATAATGAATTATCAAAACCTAATAAAGAATTAAAATATAGTTAAATTTTTTTTCAGGTGAAGTAGCGTACTAATAAAAGTTTTATTAAAAATTATGATATACAATCATATGCTCGATTCGCCCAAAATATACGAACATTTTCGTAGAAAAAAAGTTAATTGGTCATAATATGTACGGAATCCTTTTAGAGTGAGGTTTCGTAAGCTAAGCAAACTTTTGCTTACTTATAGTAAAAATATAATTTATATTTATGGCGTCAATGTCGACGAAATAATAAAAGCACCTTAATGCTTATTGAGACTGAGTTTAAAATATTTATTTAAATCCAATAACGTGTTTGGTTTGTTATGATATCTGGCTTAATGAGAACATATTTTACTAGACGGTGAGTGAATGTGTTTTTTTTTTATAGGATAGGGTGACAAACGAGCACAAAGTCCACCTGATGGTAAGTGGTTGCTGTGGCCCATAGACATCTACATTTATCCTCGTTTGCGAATCAAAATGTAGATGCGTTGTCACCCGTGAGGACTAGAATGGAATGCCTCATTTCCAGTAAAAAGGTAGTAAAAAGGGCCTCCGGCCACCTGCACTCACCAAGCGAAACGCAGAGGTAAACTTCTACTTTACGCTGGTATTCTGTGAGGTCGTGGTACCACCCCTGTTCGAGCCGGCCCATCCGTGCGACAGCAAAAGCTGCCGCCTGGCTCTACCACTGTTAAAAAAACTGGTTTCCTACATCTATCATCGGTGAAGAATAATTATAACACATATGCATTGTCGACCCTGAAAATTAGGATGGAAAAAAAAATACTCACTCCGGGTAGGGCAAGAAGTAGGCGTTCAAGTTTTGAACGTACGTATGGAGGGCAGGAATGATTAAGGCTATCACAAATATCACCGCTAATGCTACTTTTCTAGCATATTCTGTCTGAACCAGTATTAATAATACCAGTCCAAAGATGTACAACTGCATATCCGCTGCAAGGTACCTAAAATTAATTAACATAATCAACGTAAACATTGTGAAATGCCTTTGACTTGTTTACTTTAAAAAGTTGTAAGTGCTAAAAAATTTATTATACAACTTAGTCACTTAAAATCTCGCTATGTTGCGAGACATAATACTATTTTTTTATAGGAGAGGGGGTAAACTAACATACGGCTCACCTAATGGTAAGTGACCACCGCCGCCAATGAATAACAGCAACACCAAGGGAATTGCAGATAAATTGTTGGCCTTTAAAAAAGGAGTAAACTCTTTTCTTGAAGGTCTCTAAGTCATATGGGTCCAGAAAAATCGCCGGTGGTTAATTATTCCACAGAGAGGTCGTACACGGAAGAAAACTCCTTGTGAATCGTACATTGGTAAACCGCCAAGAATTCAGATAGTGTGGATGGTAACGGGAGTTTTGTTGCGATGTGTGTTCGTGAAATTTGGCGGCTGGGATTAATCCGAACAATACCTCAGAGCACTCCCCGTTCTAAATGCGAAAGAAAATGCAAAGGGATGCAACATCTCTTCGCAGTGCCAATGAAATCGAGCCGATCAGAAAGGACTCGGTCGTTGACAGAGATGGGGACAGTATTCCATGTGAGGCCAAACCTGCGCCTTGTAAATTTGCAGGCGTTGTGCCGGCATGAAATACTGTCCCGCTCTGCTGAGCACGCCAATCTTTTTAGAGGCAAATGTGGTCCTCTCTTCCAAGTGACCACGAAACTGCACGTCACTCGATATGTCGACGCCGAGAATTCCGATACTGGCTGAGTGCTTTGAAACTGAGGAGATACGACAAGGAGGTTCTCTTTAGCGGTAAATGCTCAAACTTGTGTCTTCTGAGGATTAAACTGGACTTGATTTAGTCGCCCCCAATCCAAGACTTTGTTCAGCAAAAACTCGACTTCAGACACAAATTTGTTGAGGTTTCTATAAACTCCTTTATATATTATTACATTTTTGAGACATGCAGGATAACTCATATTGTTTTCTTTATTATTAGCACGTGGTAGGGCAGTAATAAAAATTGTTATCTCACTCGCTCGCGCTCTACCATCAATATAAACACTCGTTTAATTCTTTGATTCTTACAACTTAGCGGACTTAACATGTCTTTGGTTTTTTAATTTCTCAGATATATAAGTTTTACCGTAATTTTTCTTTCATTCCCACAGTGCCACCAACCTCGGCTATTTACTCAACTCGGGGACGGTACCTTTCTCATCGACCTCTAGCAATTAGTGACCTAGCTGGCTATTATTGTAAATAGAATTTTATAGTAATAGCCAGCTAGGTCGCTGGTCTAACTATATGTCTGAGAAATTAAAAAATATTATATAATAATTATTTTTCTTACTAGTCCGATGCTACTACTTTACAATTAAATTAATTTAGCGTTATTTGTTACAATTTTCAGTCCTTCCTCGTGAACTATAATAGGTTTTATTACGAAAAAATACGTACCATGAATGTATCATGCATATGGAGTTGTCTATGTAGTTGTTAATATAGATTAAATGCAGCCAACCGTCTCGACGGCAGTCTTGAACTTCACTGTTTACTATTTGCTGAAATTGAACATGAAAATCGGGTTAAGCTTTCAGATAAAAGTTGAAAAGCACGTATTACGAGACATGGAGGTGAAAAAACGCTAACTTTCAGACTGACAAAAGTAACTAGTAACATACCGTTTACTGAGAATATCTTAACAGGAATCTTATTAAGGGAACCCTCCTTTCTCATGTCTATTTATTTATGCTTTATGCACCATAGCTTTTGTACAAAAAGCGAGCTTAAATCTACATGGTATTCTCTATTCTTTTTTTTTCTTTTTTCTCCATCTTCTCATATTGTGGAGGAAGAAGAGTTGGTTTTTAGATTTTTTTATTAGTGTAGTACTATGAACATAGCACACTACAATCCTGATACACACCTCTACCGCTTCTTTTTCATTGATATACTTATTTTAGGAATAGCAGTATTATTCCCAAAATAAGTAGATCTGTTTAAAAAATAAAAATAAAACTAGAAACATAAGATAATGATAGTAGAGGAAAATAGGGTAGATACAAAAAATGACGGAAAGCATGATGAATTGAATGTAAATGGGGAGCACGGTGTATGTGTCGAGGCAAGGAGTTCCACAATTGTACAGCTTTAACAGATATTGATTTATTGATAATGGAGGATGATCATATTCATTCAAAAATATGAGAAAGTTTCCACGTGATAGCTTGAGCTCTCCATATTATGCGATCTCAGAATAAGTTAGGTCATGAATGGCTGGATGTTACAACTTGGACGCGGGTAAAACCGCGGTAGAAAGGCTCGAGAGTATATATTTATAACTTATTTTATACATACATCCCACAGAGGTCCAGATCCAAAGAGTCTTAGCCACGTAGACGATATCGCAAGCACGACTGCATAAGATGGAGATAACCTGCCGATTATAAAATACATCTTTTATTATTTTGAGTTGTTATCAAGAAGATATAGCTGCCCATTTCCTGTTTCAGTTTCCTTCTGTTGCCTCTTACGAAAGCTAATGTAAATTCACAAAAACAAAAATAGTTTTAGTATAAAAAGTGATTTATACTCTGTAAACACTAGAAACAAACACAAGCTAGTGATACCAGTCTCTCGACTCCACAGAGTCAGTAATTCATTCTTGGGGCAATTTATACGCTATTACAATAAAGTCCCAGAAAATATACAAGGTCTTTCTATTACCAAGTTTAAATATTTAATTAAACAAAATCTGTAGAAAACGGGTTATAATAATATTAATGAATACATGGTTAATAATAACATCTGACGATGAGATGGTCGCTTCCAAACTGTTTCTAAAATAAATTTTGTAAATAGTTTGTAACCATTTATATTGTAAGATTTATTTATTTTTATATCCCGATGGGCTTCTTACTGGTTCTTCCCAGGATTGAAGAGTTTTTTTCAACCAGTAGTAAAGTAAAAAAAATGACTTTCAATAAGAATTAATTGTAATCAATATTGAACAAAAATTATTCTGTTCTATTCTATTCAAGACAAATCCCGTTACTCATCAAACTTCATGTATCGCATGTAACGTTTTTTTAATGCGACTACTATCAATTCAGCGTTCATTGTCAGATACTTGGAATGAATTACAACGAAACTTTACTAAAAATTTTGTACCCACTGCGATTACTAGATCACACAGTCATCATGCATTTATTAAAAAATAGCTTATGTTAACACAAGCAAAATACATACTATCGTCGCTGTGTCAGCGTCATAAAGTTGTAATTTGTGATATTTGAACTAGAAACGATCGTAACAAATTTAGTAGGTACATAGAATAAAAGTGGGTGATGTATTCGCCAACAAACTGCCCTGGAGTTTGGCGAAAGTAGTGTAAGAAATAACCGAAAGTATTTTTGTATAATAAACATAAAACAAAACAGGCGGGAAAATGAGATATGAATTAGTACAATACAATACTCTTTATTTTACACCTATGAAACATAACAAAAATAAACTTTCAAACAATTCAGAAAATAATTATATAAACATTTAAAAATCTTAAATAAAAATGGTTACCAACTTATGCAAAAAAAAGACAACATACTTTAGGTAGATCAATGACCATATATGTAAAAACAGCAAGCGAGAGGGATTAGAGAGACAAATAATGTTCCTTTATTTGTTTCTTGGACACATGTGAGGATTCAGCTCTTTTAATCGAATGGATTAAGAAATTCTAAAGTCTTACTTCAAGGACAGAGAATGATTCATCATAAAATATGGAGGAGTGTACAGTACACACAAATGTGCATAAGAGACGATAGATGATAATATTTTCCCTAGACCGTAGAGAAAATTATCACAGAAGCTGGGCAATTTAAAACGTTCTTTTAGATAGTGAGAACTTGATTATATTAAATAAGACGCAGTGGAGGACAGAAAGAATATGAGTATTCCGACGAAGACGGATAGGGAGTCACTTGAGTTTAGTGCGGTATTCCGAGACATTGGCATATTTACGAAGCCCAAATATGAACCGTATACAGTGTAGTGACGTGTATCCCCCACAACAATAGGTATATTAGAGTTAAGTTTATAATAAACAGTAGTGTAATTAAAGTCATAACTAGAGTAACAAAGGAGGCACCTTCTCAGTAACACCTTTCCAACATTACATGGCGACCCTGCCAGGCGGTGAGCTGCATCAATGCACGTGACTTCGCGACGCACTGCGGTGGCCTTCTAAAATTATTCCAATTAAAACATTTGTAACAAAAATAAGTGAATTTGATACAACTATACTGGATTTGACGAAACATACAACGGCAACAATATTACATATTTTTGAGGAAATTACTGGAAACCTACTAACGAAGATAAACATTTATGAAAAATATAATGAAAAGACGGAACGAGCGAAGATAAATTGCAAATTTGCGAAAAAACTAAGAAAGTGAAGTCCAGCAAGTATTAACAGGAACCCGCAACCTTAGGCGAGACGATTGTTTAAAAAAAGTTATGTATTAAATATTCTGTATTGAATATATGTTTAAATCAAAAATATTAGGTCTGTATCACCAGAAACGCAACTTCAGGAATTTGCGTAGAGAAAAAGCCAAAACTTAGGTGCTAATTAAGGATTTTTAGGTGCCACTTAGGGCTGTTTAGGTGCTAATTAGGGCTCTTTAAGTGCTAATTAGGTGCCAAGTTTAAAAATTAGGTGCACTAAAATTTTCGTGTATAGGTATGATTTGGGTGTCCTCCAATGGGAAGGAAAAGAAGTTGAGGATATGGAAAAAATAAGGTACAGGTTAATAAAATTATAGGTATACTTGATATAGGACGTACTTGAACTGGACGAACTAGAGCATGTAGATATAAAGATATAGAGTTGAACTAGAAGTAAATTCAACAATGCTACCTGTTCGTCAACAATACAAGTCTTTGCGATGAAACTCGATTTGACGCGATTTCGTGAAATTTGGCGGCTAGAATTAATCCGAACAATACTTCAGAGCACTCCCCGTGGTAAGTTCGATAAAAAATGCAAAGGGATGCAACATCCCTACGCAGTGCCAGTGTATCGAGCTGATCAGAAAGAACTCGGTCGCCAACGATTCGAAACGCTCTGCGCTGGATGCGTTCAACTGGAAGGAGCTGGCACTGGGGTGCCGCGGCCCAGAGATGAGAACAGTATTTCATGTGAGGCCGAACTTGCGCTTTGTAAAGTTGCAAGCGATGTGCCGGCATGAAATACTGTCTCGCTCTGCTGAGCACACCAAGCTTTTTAGAGCACAATTTGACCTTCCCTTCCAAGTGACCACGAAACTGCACACTATTCGATATGTCGACGCTAAGGATTCCGATGCTAGCTGAGGCAGCAAGGAAAGTGCCTTGAAACTGAGGAGATACGACAAAGGGGTTCTTTTAGCGGTAAACGCGCAAATTTGTGTCTTCTGGGGATTGAACAGGACTAGATTTAGTCGCCCCCAATCCGAGACTTTGTTCAGAAAAGACTTGACTTCAGTCACATGCTTGTCCCAGTACTCGGCGACGTTTTCCCGAGAAATATTGGCACGGCCGGCATATAAAGCATCACCAGTGCAGTCGTCTGCATAGCAACGAATGCTACCAGTTTGCAACATATCATTGATATGCAGGAGAGACAGCGTTAGTGATAGCACGCAGCCTTGTGGAACACCAGCGTTGATAGGCTTGAAATCAGAGCATGCACCGTCTACTGCAACCTTGATGCTCCGATCAGTAAGAAAACTGGTGATCCATTTGCACAATTTCTCGGGAAGCACATGGAAGGAAACTTCGAAAGAAGCGCTTTGTGCCAGACCCGATCGAAGGCCTTCGCTATGTCCAAACTAACAGCCAATACCTCCCACTTGGACTCTATTGCCTCCGCCCATCTATGAGTTAGGTAAACCAGAAGATCACCAGCTGATCGACCCCGACGTAAACCATACTGGCGGTCACTAATCAGCTGGAAATCTTCAAGGTACCTCATGAGCTGGCAGTTTATAATGGATTCCATTATGCACCACAAAGGATGGAATAAAAAGTTCCATAACCTGAAATACCACATCAGCAACAGAATCGGCAACAACTTTGGGATCTTCCGGTGAGAAGCATACCCTACCCCAAGGATAGGATGCAAACAAAGACTGCATCCCGTCTCAATCGGTCGACCTATAGTGCCAAACACGGCGGCAAGCTGCCGATCGCAACTGCAATGGGAGCGTGACTGGCAACGTACTCCGGATCAGACAATGGTCCAAAGAGCTAAGAGGGGCATCGACGGAGATCTGATATTCGCATGAAGCGAAAGCGTTAAGGTTGGCATGAAGTCCCCTAATGTTGCAAAAATTCACGGATATCGTGACAGGGGTCGCCTTGGTCTTATTGCTCCGCTACCCCGAGCAGTATAAGTCAAAAACAGAATTTTGAAACTTCTTCCGTGAGTATTTATAGGGGAGGGGGGGGAGAATTGGGCTTCCAGCCACTTGCACTCACCAAGCGGAACGCAGAAGTATACCTCTACTTCACACTGGTATTATGACTTCATTCATCTTCATGACATTAGCCACGATTTAAAAGTAATGACGACGTAAACCGAGATTTAGCTACATATGTACGTATACGTAAGCTGTGATAGGTGCACCATAAGTGGCATAAAGTTGGTAACTAGAACTCGGTCGATGTTAGTTATCCGGTCGTGTTAATCGATGTGTACGGGAAGATGCAGAGGTCACTTCCAGTGCCAAGATACTGCATCTTTTTGTCTGTGTAAGCATGGAGAGGGATTGAACTTAGTTCGCAAATTTAATTGTTCATCGTCTGTAACACGGAACTCGGCGTGCACTCTGCAGCGGAAACTTGAAGTGTTAAAGGCACAATGTCGTGGACACGGTCAGCTAAGTCTGCTAGCGCCTGTAACTCCAAGGTTGTCTGTGATGCTATTACTGTCTGTATGCTACTTAGTAAGCGGATGCAACAGATGGTCTTAAGAAAATCATCAGGAACGCTAGGTTCAGCGACATGCTATGGGTGGCGTAGAAACTGTGATAATCGATGATCACCCAGCTCTTCTTGCATAAGCAGATGTTTCACCTCCTTTTCGCGTGTTACGCAAAGTCGTTTAATAAACTCGGTCTTCAGCTTTCATATTTGTATTCGTCGGGTGGTGAGAAAATTACGTATTTTACTTCTGCTGTGTATCTATGCTCTACGGTTGATGTAATATAATATAGTTATATAGCGTCATCCTTTATTCCGGATAATAAAAATTTGTCTTTCAACTGAGCAAACTATAAAGCTGGCTCTTCAAGCCAATAAAGTGGTGGTTGGATGCCTAAACATCTTATTTCTTTCGTCCGAATAGTCATTTTTGTGGGCGTTTCTGCTCGTAGAACTGAGTGACATTTTAAC